TGAGGGAGCCCAGGGTAAGACAAAATCCCTGGGTCCCTTGAGCCCCCACCCCGGGATTAGATTCCCGGGTAGACAGCTGCAACAATCTGGGAAGACTGGGTGCCAAGGGGAGAGGGCTATGACCTTGACGCTTCCCAGCGCGCCCCTTCTCCAACCGCCACGGTTCCAAGGGTGGGAGGGGGAGCGTGTGAGGGAGGCGGCGGCGCCGCGGAGGGGACGCAGCCGGCCCGCGGCGCTCCTGGCCCGCCCTCCCCCCCAACACCAGCTGTCTCGACAGGTGAGTCAGGAAGACAAAGGCCCCCCCACTTCCCCCAGCTGCCGCGCCCCCTCTCTCCCCGGGCCGCGCAGGTGGGGAGAGAGGCCGCCCTCTGGCCCGGGGCCGGGGAGCCGCCCTGGGCAGCGAGCGCCCGCTCCGTCCTAGGCACGGCCTGTTGTAAGCAGATGGTGGGTACGGAGCGGCGGGGGATGGGAGCCCTAACCAAGCCCTCGAGGCTGCGTCAGGGTCCCTCCGCACCAACCTCCTCTAAGGATGGGAACCCCTCCAAATTTAGGGGCTAAGTATCCTCGAAGTTAAACAGCGAGGTCCCACACGGAAAGACTTTCCAGCGTCACGTAACGGGGAACCCCGCAAACCTGGGTCTACGATTCAGCCTCTCTTCCAGGTGCCAGGGACCCTCAAACCGGCCCCCACAGTCCCTCTTGGAGCCCAAACTGAGACCTGGGGGGAGTCTGAGCCCTGCCTAAATCCTGGCCTCCCTACAGGGAGTATCTGCCAACTTGGAGGTTCTCTGAAAAAGTCTTTTAAAAATTCGGGAGTCCTCGGAACGCCCCCAAATCTGAGGGCTCCCAGGAGACTCTCACCGGCACCACCCCGAACCCTGGGAATCGCGGGGTAGTGGTCAATATTTGGAGCTCATCCAGGAGGGTTCGGCCTCACATCCGAGGCTTCCAGTGCCCTGTCCCCAAATTCCAGCCGGGAGCAAGTTGGGGGGAGGGGACAAAGGCGGGGCGGGGAGCCGAGCCGGGAGGGGAAGGGTCTGGAGGCACGGGAGGCTCACCTCATGGCTGCTCCGCGGGCGGGCGGCGCACCCACAGAGGGGGTGCTCCCGGGGCGCCCCTGGCTCGAGGTTCAGGGGTTCGGGGTTGGCTCCAGGTTCTGCTCAGTCTCCCCCAGGGTCCCGCCCCATAGAGTCCGGCTTCCTGGGGAAAACGTGGACGGGGCCGAAGCGGGTACTTGGGCGCCTCTTCCCTCTGGGGGTGTGATCGGGGTCCCTGCGGCAGAAAGGGGGTGCGGCGTCCCCTCCCCGGCGCGCCCCCTCGGCCGGCGGCGGCTACAATGTTACTCTTACTACTGTACTTCTCTTCGCTACATTTCGTTCCAAAATTCCACTCCCCGCACCCACAATTCCCTGCGCCTTAAAGGGGCCGCGAACAAACCGAGGCTGTGGCGGCGGGGTGGGGGGAGCGGTAGAGGGCGCTTAAAAGGGCAACGCGGAACCCTTGACCCGCTATATCTCTCTTCCTCAACGTTACTGCTGGAGTCTGTGTGCCGGGGGTCACCCTCATCTTAGGGGGGGGAAAGCTTGGTGGAGGGGAAGGGATCCTTTCTTGATACCTAGTTCTCCCCCATGATGCGAACCCTTAGGGGTATCTCAATGCGGACACAATTTGTTCTCATCCTGCCCATCGACTTCTCCATTTCTTTACATTCTGCTCAGTTGGGGAGGGGGCGAGGAGGACCCTCTGGTTAAGCATGAATTCACTCCAACGTCCTCTCTACACCCTCCTGGTTGACCCCCAACATTTCTCTTCTCTGCCAGTTTATGTGGGGTTACTAAGGGTGAATGAACCCGCTCCCCCGCAGGGGAGGGAGAGGAGTGGGAAGGGCCCCACCCCTCTCACTGCCCCCCTCCCGGGCCGAGAAGGTGAGGAGGAAGTGGGCTGAGGGGGCGCGGCCGGCCGCTGACTCACAGCCGCAGGGGGTGGGGGTGCGGCGCTGGACCTGGGTGGGGATGAGACTCGGGTCCAGCGTGGGTAAAGCCGCAGGCTCCCTCCCCAAGGACGCCCCGCCGTTACTCAGTTTCGCCTGCGGAGAATGGCAGGGTCATCCCGCAATCGGAGAGCACGGAAGCGGGGAGCCCCTCCCTAGTGCCGGTTCCCGCGAGCCCCTTCCCCCACGCGGCGGTTTCAGGCTGAGCCAAGACACCCTCCGAAGCTTCCGCGGCGGGTCCCCGGCCCCGCCCATGTGACGTCACTCATATGGTCCCGCCTCTCCAGTACAGCGCCACCTGGCCTAGGTAAGGTGCCCTAGCGAGGGACAGAAACCCGGGAAATCATCAGTTTGAGGATTACAAATGGGTAAACTGAGGCCTGGGAGTGTGGAAGAAATCTGGGCTATAAGCCCTCTTGCCGGGACCCCCAGAACTCCAGTGGTGCTCGGTACCGGGTGTGAGTGTAAAATAACTCTCAGGGTCCAGTTGACTAAGTGAGGAAGTCAGCCTTCCCAGCCTTTGTCCAAGCCAAATCCTATGTTTGGATGCTGTCCTGCCCTCACCTCATACTCCAGGACATATTTTGACACTAATTCTTTGCAGAATTGAGTAATCCTCACCTCTTCTGTACTTTATCCTGGGAAACCTCAAACCCTGATCCACCTGGGTTATAATTGTTTGTTTTTCTGTGTGTCTCCTCAGTCTGTGAATTCTTTGGGAACCGGGGTAAACTTGATCTATTTCTGTGCCTCCCTGACCCAGCCAGACCCAAAACAGCAGCTTAACACACATTTATTCAACTGAATGAGAACCCCAGTCCCGTGCGACCTTGAGCAAATACTTTCTCCTCTCTGGGCCTCAGCTTTCCCATCTGAAATGGGAGGGTCGGTGCTTCTGTGTGCCACCTGCACTGCAGTCAGCAAACTTTTCTAAAAAGGTACAATTAGTAAATATTTTAGGCATATTAGGCAGAGAGTCTCTTTCATATATTTTTTTACAACGGTTTAAAATATAAAAGCCATTCTTAGCTCATGTGCTGTGCAAAACAGGCAGCAAGAGCCCAGGCTGAGTACCTAAGGTGGTTAGAGCATTGTCCTGATACGCCAAGGTTGTGGGTTCAATACCCGGTCTGGGCATGTGTAAGAATCAGCCAATGAATGCATAAATAAGTTTTAAAATTTAAAAACACACCCTACCTTATATATTTTTAAAGATTTTATATATTTCTTTTTAGAGGGGAAGGGAGGGAGAAAGAGAGGGAGAAAAACATCAATGTGTGGTTGCCTCTCTCATGCCTCTTCCTGGGGACCTGGCCTGCAGCCCAGGCATGTGCCCTGACTGGGAATCGAACCGGCGACCATTAGGTTCGCAGGCCAGCTCTCAATCCACTTAGCCCCACCAGCCAGGGCAAAACCATGCCCTACCTTAAAAAGAAGGAGGAGGAGGGGAGGGGGAGGCAGGGGGAGGAGAACTCTGAACTAGAGAAACCCTTGCATATGTGCCCAAGGAGCCCGACCAAGGATCTTTATGACAGCAATGATGCGAGGGCAAGAAATTGGAAATAACCTACATGTCCATTCAAGAGGAAGATGGACAGTGAAACCATTGCATATCCCTTATAGGAAGCACTGGGCAGCAGCGAAAAAGAATGACGTGCAAACAGCATGAAAGAAATCCCCAACGTATTACTGAGTGGAAAAAACCTAACTGCCAATGATACCTAGGCTATGAAAAAAATCAGGGAAACACCTAAGGTACCCTATACATGGGTGCACATGCAGAGTAAAACGTCTGGAAAAATCCACTCCAGAATCTTTGCAGTGGTTAGAGAGTGAGACTGGGGGTATTTGATGGTCATAGAGACCTCAAAACTCATCTTGAAAATGCCAAGTTCAATCCTGCCTCTAGGTTTTTGCACTGGCTGTGTCTTCTGCCTTGGCACACTCTCCTTAGAGGTATTAATATTGCTGGCTGCTTCTCTGTCAGGTCTCTGCTCAATTGTCCCCTCCTCAGGGACCTTCCCTGATGCCCCAGTCTCAAGCATCCATCCCCAGGTAGAAAATTGAGTGGCTGAGAGGTGGGGGAAGGAGAAAGACTTCCCATCGTATACCATTTTGTACCCCTTGAATTTGAACCAAATGAACTTATTACCATTCAGAAAAGTAAATGAATAACAATTTTAAAAACCAAAGTAGATTTTATCACAGCCCCATTTTATTTTCCTTGAGACACTTGTCAGTGCCTGATGACCTTATTTATTTGGTTTCTTTGAAATATTTTATTTATTTTCTTTTTAGAGAGAAGGGGAGGGAGGGAGAAGGAGAGAAAAATATCAATGTGTGGTTGCCTCTCACACGCCCCTCCCCCACCACTGGGGCCCTGGTCTGCAACCCACACATGTGCCTCAACAGAGAATCGAACGGTGACCCTTCGGTTTGCAGGCCGGTGCTCAATCCACTGAGCCACACCAGTCAGGGCTATTTATCTGTCCCTTTGTTTTCCGTCTCCCCCCACACACTGGGAGATGAGCCCCTCAAATAGGCAGGAATCTCAGTGAGTCCCCTGATTGATGGCCATGAGCAGGTGCCCGATACATTTGCCAAATGACTGGGCAAATGATGTTTGGGGTGTTTTTTTTTCCTACAAGATAAATGTATTTTGAATCATGTACTTATAATTTAATAATAAAGTCTCTTCCCTGCCTCCCACCCACAACAGATGAAAAATGGAAGGGGAAGAGGTTATTGAACTAGGTGATCTCTGATGGTTTGTTCTGCTCTAAATATTTCACAAACATTTGATTTGGGGTGTTTGGTTTTTTGTTTTTTTTTCTGCCTAGATAGTGAGTGGAATTTCCCCTCTCATAAGACTTTTTGTGAGAGGGAAGTAGGAGAAGGGGAAATAAACATTCTGGGGTTCCTCCATCGGCATGTCTTCCTTCTGCTGGTCCATGTAGCTGGGGAGGGGGAGGTCTCTAAGTTCCACTGTGGCCCCAAAGGACGGCAGCTGTCAGGCCTGGAAGTCCAAGGCAGAGCTTGAATGGGTGCCAGTGACCTTCCCCGCCCCATTCTGCACCTTCTGTAACACAAAATACAGTGGACGGTGAATAAGCACCCCTTCTTTCCTCTCCATATCTACTTCCTTATATTTTGGAAACACTACTAATACTTTCATTTGGGGAACCACCATTCCCCATATCTCAATCCATCAGGTTTGGATGCACTGGACCCCAACCCTGAGCGATAGGAATGGGCTTGTGACCACAGTCTGGCCTGTCAGACACAGTGACTGGCAGGCATGTGACCCAGTGTGGCAAATGAGAACCAGCTCTGGAACCATTGCTGCGATTACTGGGAAACTGGTGCCTACACTTCACGGAAGATGTCAGGCGCATGGGATGTGAGGCTGGAGCTGCAACTCTGCTACCTCATGCTGAGACCCTGCCTGGGAATGAAGCCAACTCAGAGGAACTAAAACTAGGAGATGATTCCTGATGACATCAAATGACAACTGGATGCAGTCATGCCTTATGTCCCTGAGCTCTTAAATTACAGGGCCCAGTAAATTCCCTGTTTTGCTTTCCCAGGTTTAGTTGGGTTTCTGTCACTCATAACTCAAATATTCCTGATGAGTACCTCCTTCTACTGCTCAGACACTATCAATAAACCTCCTCCTGGAAGTGGGAATAACCAAACTCTCTTTCCTGCTTTGGAAAAGCCTGTAGGCTCTGGTCCCAGCTTCCTCCTTCCTATTTCCTCCCTGAGCCGCACCCCTTTGCCTTCCTTTGTGCCGCTCCACCCACAGCCTCTTTGGATGTCTCCAGTTCTCACTATCTGGGCCCAATTCACAATCTCTCTAAGATCTAGGCCATCCTCTGGGATATCCTGGTCTGCAGTGCATCCCGGCCTGGTTAGCGACATTCCTGGAATTTTTCTGCCTTAGACCTGGATGGAGGGGGTGTTGCTTGGAATGATGGGGCTTTACAGAGCATTGCAGGAGGCACATTTCTTGGAGGTGAAGCACAGTCTTCTGCTTCTGCTTGTCCGCCATTATACCTAGCACAATGCTTCAGGGCAGGAGTGAGAATGAATATATCAGGCAAGTCCCTTGTCCCCTCTCTGGCCTCAATTTCCCAGCCACTATGGGGGGGGTGGGGGCCGAATTACATGCTTCTAAAAAACATTCAAAACACAGGGTCCTGCCCTGACCCCTGTGGCTCAGTTGGTTGGCTTCTTCCCGCAAAGCAAAGGGTGGCAGATTCCTTTCCCCGTTAGGACACGTGCCGGGGTTGCCGGGGTTGCCTCGGTCGGTGCGGGCGAGGCAGGAGGGGGCGGGGCCACGGATCGATGTTTCTCTCCCTTTCTCCCTCCCTTCCCCTTCTCTAAAAAAAGTAAGTAGGCAATCGGTGGCAATTTCTCTCACACCGGTGTTTCTCTTCCCTCAAAAAATCAATTAACGTATCCTTGGGTAAGGATTAAAAACAAAACAACATAGGGCTCTTACCTCTCAGCGCCCCCCTTAGGTCTGAAAGAACGGAGAATAAGCTTCAGCAATGACAGCTGCCTTGGACAGCAGACAAAGGCCCTCAAGACGGGACCCTCCTCTGGCCACCTCTCCCCCTTTCTACCCCAGCCCACCCAGACTCCCTTGCAGTGGAGCCCTCCCTCAGGACGTAAATCCGGGGCATCCTCCGAGACCATAGTCCTTAAAACTCTCTTCAGGCTTGGGGGCTCCTGGGAAGAGGAACACAGCTCTGAGAAGAAAGCAAGGGTTAGGGAAGCTCCCCTGCTTGCCGACCACCCTTCCCGCTGGCTGTGCTTCTAGAGTTTGCCCACCAGCCACCTTGTGGCCCAGGGCTTCATCCAGTGCCAGCTCCTACCTGATCGCCTCCTCACAAGGCCTGGCAGTCCCCCAGGAAGCAGACCAGGAGGAAAGTCATGTTGTCCAGGCTGCCCAGAAGCAGGTGGAGAAAAGGGCCTGGTGGGAGACCGCTGAACGCCTCAGCACAGGGCTCCGTGCCCTTGGAAGCACAGCTCCAACAACCCTCGTGTTCTTGTGCCTCTCTCCCCAATCGGATTATGCTCATTTCTCCCAAGTCCAGTTTATCTGCCAGTCTAAACCTACCCATCCCACCACGACTACTAATCTTTTAAGTTACACCCCTCAATGTTCTAGCATTGCCCCATCAAAAACAAAGCTTCTTCCCTCTCTGCTGTCGAAGTGCTCCTCCTGGTACTAATCATGCCTCAAGACTTACTCCTCTGACCCAGGGCCGTCCCATCCCAAAAGACCACGTCCTTTCTCTTAAATCCCTTCCATTTATTTATTTAGCCTTCAAGTATCACTTTCCCATCTTGCCTCAAGGCATCCCTCAGGCTCCACACTCTCCATATTTTGGCCTTGTCCTATTTCAGCAGGCGCCATTTAATGGAACCCCACCCCCTCTTTAATTTTGCTCTCGCCTCTACATTAAAGACCTTCCTCCCTAAAACCATTAGGTTCTTCCCCTCAGAGACCCCAAGCCCTGTCCCAAGACCTGGCACAGACACGTGTCCAACGGCTGCGCTCAAAGCAGCTCTGGGGCAGAGGCCCAGAAGCGCCAAGCGGAGGCGTGATGTCACCAGTCTCGCCAGGGCAGCGCCAGACATCTATCCTATACACCGTCGGAGGCCAGGAGCAGGAACTCGTCCTCGGCCCGCCGTGCCAGGGCGGTCACCTCAGTCTCTGCGGAAACAAGCTGCAGCTCAGGAGGCCCTCCTGAAGCTCTTTGTAGGCAAAGTCACCCAGTGCTCTCGATATTGCCAGAGAGCCCTTGAGAGTCGGCGGCAGATGGTGCCGCCCGCGTCATGGATACGTTCGCGTTTCTGGGGCCCGGAGGGGTCGATGGTCCTCGGTGCTGAAGTCCACAGCTCCCGCACGGTTCAGCACCGCGCGAAAATCACTGCAGTGTGCCAGGTATAGAAATTGCGGAGAGACGAGCAACGCCACCGCGGTGGAACCGCTCGGCTCGCCGAGTGGCCAGAGCGAGCGCAGGCGTGCGTCTGCGCTCCAGAAGGCACGGCGAAGCGTCCCCTACATGCCCTCGGGCTGGTCAGGGGCCGGGCCCAGCGCCTCAAGCACGTGGCCTGGAAGATGACACGCGCGGGGGAGGGCTGCACACGCCCTGCCTTGGCCGTCGAGGACCTCAAAGAAAGCCCAGCTCGGATGCACCCCGCGTAAAGCGAGCCATGCTCAATGCGCTTCCTCCATGTGCGCGCGCCAGCCCTGAACTGCGCTGGCCCCGAAGCGCAAGCTCCAAGATGCTGCTTCACCCCCGTGCGGCCGCTGGGCGCATTGCGGCGCGTCCGGTAGGAACCGAAGCCTGTCCGGAATCGTGAGCCCCGCTCCTCCTCTTCTTTCTTGAGAGCTGAACAGAGGAGACGCTCCAGCAAACGGGCAGGGGCCGCCATCCTTTGGCCCTGGGACCAAGGAGGCACCACCCTCTGCACCTGACCCCCCAACTGCACTAACCCCCTCCACTGTGAGATTTTAAACCACTGAAATCTCCTTGCTATGCCCTTGACCTGCACTCAAGTCGAATCACTATAAGAGATTAAGCTCCTGGGTCTCCTTTCTCCCTCACCTTCAAAGCGAGGTTTGGGATCAGGGTCAGGAAAAAATGATAGTAGCAAACCAGCATTTACCATGTGCTACACACTATTTTACATCATCGTATCCGATTTACCGAAGGGAAAATTGAGTAGCCGAACAAGCAGGAACACGAACTCGAGAATCCGTGTCCTTCACTGCACACTCTTGGCTTCAGTCCCCAGCCCTGCTCTGTCCAAGCTCCGTCCACCTCAGTGGGCTCAGCCCCGTTTTAAAATCTTTAAATTCTCCATTTGTTTTTAGTTCTACCCCACCCTTTCTGGGTCTCGCCGCCGAGCTCCGGTTGCTTCTTTTCCAGGTCCGGCCACTCATACAAGCCCACAGCCTCAAACTCTCAATTTTCTCACCCCACCTCTAGCTCCACCTCTTAACTACAGGCCAGCCCCTACATTCTCCTAGCCAAAACAGGCCCTCTCCTCAGGCCACGCCCACCTTCTGGGCCACGCCCCCTCCTGTACCAGGTCTATTTCCTTTAGGCCACGCCTGTAGTTCCTGTCTCCTCGATTGGCCCCTCCCAAATACGGAACACTTAATTCTAAATTGGCTTAAGCCCCACCCACTTCTGAGATCCTCCCCTGGTCGCAAAACTTTCTGGGTAGTTTCTATCCGCCCCCTTTCCCACTTCCTCTGAGAATCTAGGCTCAAATCCTACTTCAAAGCAGTAGAATCTTTATACCCTCTACTCAGTGCCACCCCTCGCTCCGTTCCTGTGAGATCCACGCTCCCCTCCCGTTTCCCGAGCCCCACACCCAACCCTAGGCTCCGCCCCCTCCCCTGCAGGCCGCGCCCCCTTCCATCTAGACTCCGCCCCCAGGCCGCCCTTTACAACTTCTGGGCCCTGTAACCTATCCCCTGAGCTCCGCCTCTCTAGTAGAAAAGCCCCGCCCCTTCCCCCTGTGTCCGCGGTGCTGCCCCGCCCCTTGCCCTCCCTCAGATCCAGCCCCGCCTGTCATCTGGCCCCGCCCCCTGCTCCGCTCTGCAGTGCCTTCCCCACCGTGGCCCCTCCCGCCGCCGAGCGGAGCTGAGGGCGGCGGCAGTGGCGGCGGCGGCCGCCGGAGCAGCCCGGGAGGAGGAGGCGGCAAGGATGGCGGCGGCGGCGTCGTCTGGGTGGAGATGAGTGCCCGCGGCCCCAGGCCCAGGGCGGCGTGGCCGGAGAGGGCGGGGGTCCCGATGCAGTCCCAAGGGGGGCCATGGGGCAGGTCCTGCCGGTCTTCGCCCACTGCAGTGAGTAGGGGCAGCTCGGGCCTGGTGTGGGGCCCAGAGGCGCCGGTGGGCTCCTCCTCGGGGTCCTCTCCGCGTCAGGCGGCGGGCGAGCAGGGACGAGGGAGGCGGCGAAGGAGACAAAGGAAGCGCTCCCCTCCCCCGCGACCTAGTGGCGTAGGGGGCGGCCTGACCCGGAGGACCTGAGTGAGCCAGGGCGGAGTGGGGGGCACTGAGATAACTGGCGTGGGGCGCTGCGGGTGCGGGACGCGCTGCCGGGCCCCGCCCTGGGATGAGGAGGTTCGCCGGGAGCTGTCCCCTTCCCTGGTGCTGGCCGCAGCCGGAGGGGAGGACAGTTGAGTGGAGGGGTAGAGCCAGGATGGGGAGAAGGGGGTCTGACCCCCGCCCCATCGCCCACCTTCGCATCCCACCTCCGTTTTCTGCCCTGACTCACAGGCAGCCCCCACCTCGCCCAGGCTGTCCACCCTCTGTGCCTGGGAAACAGCCATTCCTGGGCTGGGCCCAAGACTCCTGGGTCCTTAGCGGGCTTTACCACTGACTAGTAGTAACTCCGGACGAGATTCACTCTGCTCCGGGCCTGTGATTCCGGGCCTCCGATTCCCCAGCTTAGGAAACAAGGTGGGGGCGGAGGGCGTCTGATTCCAATTTCCAAAGGCCATCGAGCGTGTCCTGGAGGCAAAGCCGCAAGCTCGGTAGCTCTGAGGCGCTGGATTCCACGACGGAAAACGCCTTGTCTGACCCCCACGATCTCTGAGGCCAGAGCTCTAATAGTCCTCGTCTAACATTCTCTGTCCCATCCACCCGTGGTTCTGACAGCTGGGGGTTTCAACACTCTCAGATCTGGCCACTTGCATGTCTGGGAAGTCCAGAGGCCAAAATTCTAAGAATTTATTTCAACACTTTCTAGTATCATCCCAAAATTCTAAGATCCTGTCCTTATTTTGGCTTACAAAAAATGGCTCTACGTGATCTCCCTCCTCCGCCTTATCTATTATCCCTCCACTCCCCCTCCTCCCCTCAGTTACTCTGCTCCAATCACACCTTTGCACCTTCCTGTTCCTCAAATATGGCAAACAGTGCCTACCTCAGGGCCTTTGCACTGAGCTTTTCCATCTGCCTGGAAGACTCTTCCCTTGATATCTGCATGGGCTCCTCACTTCCGTCGGGCCTCTGCTCAAAAGTCTGTCTTAGCAGAGAAGTCTCCTGACCATCCTTGTCCAAAATAGCACCCTCTCACTTTCTGTTCCCTAACCCAGCTTTATTTTCCTCCACACGCTGAAAGCACCCACCTTTGTATATTTAATAGTGTACTGTTTGCTTCCTTCATAAAGAATAAGCTTTATGAGGGCAGGGATTTTGCCTATTTTGTTTGCAGCTGTGTCCTCAGAGTCTAAAACAATGCCTGGCACATAGTGGGCACTCGATAAATGGTTGCTGAAAGAATGAGTGAATTGAAACCTCCTAGAATTCCAATTTGAAGATTCTGAGATTAGGGTCCCTGGATTTTGAACTTCTAAGACTGAGCTTCTGGTAGAAGTGACCGCTTTGACAGTCTGTATGCAGAACGTTCTAAAGGTCCTGCGGTTCAAATATTCTAAGATTCCTTAATTTGGACCATCCACCTTTCCAGCACTGAGCGCTTCAGTGATCCGGACAGTCTAAACTTCTCACAATCTTTTGACTTTTTCACTCTCGCAGAAGAAGCTCCATCGACAGCCTCCTCTACCCCTGACTCCACGGAAGGTAAGTGAAGAGGGAGGAGCTGAGAATGTGACTTGAAAGGGGCACTCAGCTGGGTAGGCGGGCTGAGGAGAGCAGGTCAGAGGCCTGCTCTGAGGAGCTTACACCCTCCTTTGCTCACTGCAGGAGGAAATGACGACTCGGATTTTCGGGACCTGCACACAGCCCGGGAATTCTCGGAGGACGAGGAGGAAGAGACCACGTCGCAGGACTGGGGCACTCCCCGGGAGCTGACCTTCTCCTACATTGCCTTCGACGGCGCGGGGGGCTCCGGGGCGCGCCGGGATTCAGCTGCCCGCCGCCCCAGGCCCCAGGGGCGCTCAGTATCTGAACCGCGGGACCCACCCCCTCAGCCTGGCCTGGGCGACAGTTTGGAGAGCATCCCCAGCCTGAGCCAATCCCCGGAGCCCGTGCGCCGGGGAGACCCCGACACTGCTCCTCCGGCAGAGCACCCCCTGGAGGACCTGGGGCTCCAGCTGGACCAGCTGGACTGGGCCGCCCGGGAAGCGGGGTCCGGGGAGGACTCTTCTACCAGTAGCTCCACCCCGCTGGAAGACGAGGAGCCCGACGGATCAGAGACAAGAGAGGCTGGGAAAGGTGAGATGTCCTGAGGTGCTGGGACCAAGGTCCCAAGGGTGGGTAGTCTCTTCTCAGGGCACCTCCAGGGTGAAAGCTCATGGCCTTCTCTCTCTAACGCACCAGAACTGGACGTACAACTCGGACTCGCTCAGTCCTCGCCGCCCGAAGTCTTAACTCCACAGTCCAGCCCTGGCTCTGGGACCCCTCAGGCCCGTACCCCGTCCCCACCCGGATCCCGGGATTCGAACTCTTGGCCTGATGAGCCCTCGCTGGACGAGAAAGAGGAAGAGCCATGGGGGCAGCTGGATCGGGAGCCAATCACGGGGCAGTGCCTCGTTTGCACGAACCAATCAGAATTCACATTGGAACCACACTTTCTAGGTAAACTGCCCGAGTGAAGGTGCTTCTTTGCATTACAGTGAGGGTGGGAGGATTGCGATTTAAAAGAACCAACTTCGCGAAGGAAAGGAGGAGAGTGGAGAAGGAGGAGGTATTACTATTAGCTAGACCTTATAAACTTCACCCTTAAAAAGAAATTTTCCCCCCATTATCTAAGATTACCATGGACTCTTTTTATATAGATTTCCCTTCCACTTGGGAAGTTAGCCCGCCTGCGAATATTAAGATTGGATAGTTCGTTAAAAAAGAAAAAAGAAAAGAAAAGAAAAAAATAAATCCCTCTTTTGGAGTGCTCCCCCTAGGGGCTGACTTTGGATAGGCCAAATCACTGAGAAAACAAGGCTCTCTTCTAAATGTGGCTGTGGGACATTGATAAATAAACTCTGTGCCTTTTAAAAACTGTCCTCTACCCTGACCACATCAATTAGCCAGTTGCAAATAGACCCTGCCTTACTTTAAAATATGTTCAGCCTCCATGAACCGCCAAGGTTTGCTTGTAGACATCGTTGCTTTTAGCTGTTTACAAAGAGAGCCACCCCTTTTTGGAGTTGTTCCCACCTCTATGGAGAGCCATTGGCTGGATAGGAAGGGGCACCGCCCCTCTGCTCCCTCCCTCCGGGTTCCACTGAAGTGGGCAAAATCCCCGAGAATCCGCGGTGTCCGCAGTCTCACACTCGGAGCAGAGATGGGGAGTAAAGGTGGGCTTGCGGGCCGGAATGCGACGGGGGCTGGAGGGCGGCGGAAAGGAATCTAGATTCACTATAGCCTTCAAATCTGGAGGGATGTTTCTTATTGGTCACAGGTTCCCTGGAGCTGCAGGCTGGGGCTGGGGGACTTTGGGACTGTCTAGGGAGCGCGTGGAGAGAGCGTGGGGTACCCTCTCCCCCAAGACAGGGCTTTGGAGTCTAAGAACTGGGAGGCCCCCTCCCCCAGCCTCAGGCCCAGGCGGCGCTGTCACTCAGTAGCTGGATGGGCCAGCACAGCTGCAGGCGAGGCCCCCTCCCCCCAGCGTGCCTAAACTTAGCCCCCGTCTCAGGCGACCCGGCTCCTCCCCCACGCACTGGCACCAGCTTCGGGGAGACTGCGGGGGAAGGCCCTACGCATTGGGGTTGGGGAGAGGCCTGCCCTAGTTAGATGTAGATGGGAGGATGTGTACAGGGAGGATACGGAAGGACGGGAGGCAGGCTCTGGGAAGGACCAGTCCGGATGGGTCAGAGTTTGATTGGAGTGAGGGTGACAGAATGGGAAGTCTGGAAAGAACTGGAGGGTTCCAGATTTGCGGTTCAGGGCTCAAATGCGAGCGGATTATTGGGAGGCCTGATAAAGTTTATATGGGTGAGATGAAACATTGGGGACTGGAGGTCATAGGTCAGCCTTGCGGGAGTGGTGACTTCAGGGGCTCAGAAAGAGGTCAGAACTGGGTCCTGGCCAGATAGCTCTGTTGGTTAGAGCACGGTCCCGATCCACCAAGGTTGCAGGTTCCAGGTCTGGTCAGGGCACATACAAGAAGTAACCAATGAATGTATAAATGGGCAGAATAACAAATTGATGTTTCTCTTTCTCTCTCTCCCCCTTCCTCTCTCTGTCTCTCTATAAAATGAATCAATGAAAAGAAAAAATTTTAAAAGAAAGAGGTCAGAAGTTTGGGTTAGGGCTTAGGAAGGAGGGTGGTGTTTTGCCCAAAAATAAAAAGAACAGTAACACCCACTATGGGGCAGGATGCTTGGAAATGATCGCTCCCGCTTTGCTCCTGGAAATAAGAATTGTTACAGTCTTGCTAGTAAGCAATCTGAGAATACTTATGACATTCATAAATACATAACTAGTCCACCCAGCCATTCCACCCCTGGGATTCTATCTTCCTCGAAATTCTGGGAGATAAGAATATCTGTAGAAAGCTAGGGCTTACAAGTGCTGTTGGGGAAAGGAGGGTATGAAATAAAATGAATGGTCCAACAATAGATATGTGATTGGATACAATGAATGATAGCAGCTGCACTACAGAATATCATGGTGCTCTGAAAAGGAATGAATTAAGAGCTATTCCAGTCGACTAGCAGAGAGTTCTAGGAGGGAAAGTAGAGATGTGTATGAAGCAGAAAAGTGTATATATGGTTGCATTTTTCATAAATAATGAACAAAATTATGTCCACACATAATCTATGAGTAGGAGTAAGATAAAGAGACTTGCTAGATGGTTAGCTTGGGTTTGCCAAGAGAAGAGGGAAGGCAACAAGGAATAAAAGAAGATACTAGTAATTTGGAAACTGGATTGAGGCTGAGACAGGTGTGTCAGGGGGTCATGGTTCAGCCCTGAGACAGGAAATGGGAGGTCAAGAGGTCGGCCAGGCCAGGCCCGAACCCCAGGCTGATGGCTCCCCTCCCCCACAGTGGCCGACCTGCTGTACTGGAAGGACACGAGGACATCAGGAGTGGTCTTCACGGGCCTCATGGTCTCCCTGCTGTGCCTGCTCCACTTTAGCATCGTGTCCGTGGCCGCCCACGTGGCCCTGTTGCTGCTCTGTGGCACCATCTCTCTCAGGGTTTACCGAAAAGTGCTGCAGGCCGTGCACCGGGGGGACGGCGCCAACCCCTTCCAGTGAGAACCCCCACCCTGCACCCCGACTCTGCCCAGACCCCACTGCTGACCCTGAGTCAGGACCCATGGCCTCCGATCAGGCACCAACCTCTCACCCTGGCCCTGGCCTGGCCCATCCTCCTCCCCTTTCTGACTCCAACCTCACTCACCCTGACTTTCAACCACACTCTGATCTTTCACTTGCAGCCTTCACCTCTGATCCTAACCTCTGACCCTGAATCCTTGATCCCTTCTCCTGACCCTGACCTTGACCTTCGCCCTGTACACCTGGCCTTCTCCCCCACCCCCATTCCTTGCCCTTGCCCTTGTCCCAGCCACGCCTCTCAGCCTGGGCGCCATCCACCCACTGAGTCACCTCACACCGCATTGTCCTCTCAGGGCCTATCTGGACGTGGACCTGACCCTGACTCGGGAGCAGACAGAGCGTTTGTCCCAGCAGATTGCCTCCCAAGTGGTCTCTGCGGCCACCCAGCTGCGTCATTTTTTCCTGGTAGAAGACCTCGTGGACTCCCTGAAGGTGCTCGGAAACCCCCATTGCCTCCTGGGTTCCCAGCATTCACCTTGCTGCCCCTGGGGGGGCGGGTAAGAGGGCCATTTCTGGGTAAGTTCACAGCCTGGGGAGTGCTCTATAGGCTCTGCTGACCCTGACCCTCACCCCCAGCTGGCCCTTCTCTTCTACATCTTGACCTTCGTGGGTGCCGTCTTCAATGGTTTGACTCTTCTCATTCTGGGTGAGCTGGGAAGGCTGCCGGGGGGCTGGGTGAGGACATGGGTCATGGGGGTGGATGGCAGGCAGGGCTCCAGATGGAACTGTTCATCTGTTGGAAGAACCCTGACTTCCATCTCTGTGCCCACAGGAGTGATTGGTTTATTCACCGTCCCGCTGCTGTACCGGCAGCACCAGGTGAGTTTGACAGGCCCTTGGGTGGCAGTATCCCAGCCAAGCAGGGGTGGTCTATCTGCTTCCCCACCTCTATTGCCAGGGTCCCATTGACAGATGTCCCAACCAGGGACAGGAGGATCAGCTGGTGTTTCTTCCCTTGAAAGAATGAGGATCTGGCTGACATATGTCCCGACCGGACACTGGTCATCTGGCCGCTGCCCCTCAATGGAGCTAGAGTCTAACTAATTTGTTTCAGCAGCCAAAGACAGGCATTTTCATTGGCATCCCCTAACAGAGCCAGGATCTGACCGACGTGGCCCAACGCAGGCAGGTGGATTAACTGATGCCGCTCCCCAACAATGCGCCCAAGGTCTGACCGACATGTCCTAGCTACAGTCAGTCTAACTGATGTCTTCTCTCCCTGACACAGCCTCAAACGGAGCAACACTCATCCCAGGCAGAAGCAGGCAGACAGATGAATGCCTTCTCCCCTTGGTACCACCAGAGACTGACAAACATACATTCCAGTTGCAGATAAACAGACAAACCAATGCCGTCTATCCTTACACATAGTCTGGGTCTGATGAGCACCAGCCCAGCCACCAACACAGGTGGACTCACTGATGCTCTCACTCCCTAAACCCGCCAGGGGCTGACATCTCAGTCAGGACTGGGAGGATGACGGTTGTCCAGAATGCTGACGGACCCGAGGCTAACTGACACTTATCCTATCCGGAGACACGGAGCTGAGAGCCAACTAATGCACACGTCCTTGCCAGAGAATTCTAATTCCTTCATGTGCTGGAATCATCGAGACCTCAAAGTCAATTAACGTTGAATTACGCTAGGATTTAGATTAATGACAGCCAACACCAATGCCCTCTACTTTCCCCTTGTCCCTAAACACACACACACATAACTCACCCAAGGATTAACAGTCATGCCCAAGTGACAGGTTCACTGTCGAGTTCTTGTGTATTCACATGACATCCGTCTCCACACAAAGTGGGGCCCAACTGATTGACACTTCATCTTCAAGTTCTGTCTTTCAGGGTATTTTATCAGGTTTAAAGTTGAAAGTAGAGGGATGGGCCACTCCCCACAGCTCCTGATTTGGAGGTGGGGGAGGAAGCAGCCTTCTGAATGAACTGGGGGTGGGGGAGCCCCCTTCTAATCTCTCCTTCTACCTGTTCTTGGTGTTCCCAGGCCCAAATCGACCAGTATGTGGGATTGGTGACCAATCAGTTGAGCCACATCAAAGCGAAGTAAGGGCATGAGGTGGAGGTGGATGAGATGGGGTAGGGGGGAACTTGGGAACTGCTCGCCCTTCCCTGTCCTTAAATCTCCTGGGAGGGTGCCAGACAATTCCAACGCAGGCCATTCGATGGAGGGCGGGGCTGGCTCTGGGCTAGTTCCCCCAACCAGCTTTCCCCTTCTTTCTCGGATACCTACCCAGCTTCTTGCCCCACCTAACTCTACATGTTCTTCCTCAGGATCCGAGCTAAGATCCCAGGGACCGGAGCCCTTGCCTCGGCAGCAGCCACAGTCTCTGGATCCAAAGCCAAAGCCGAATGAAAAGGGTGTCTCTGCCTGCGGGACGCCTGCCCCCACCCCCTGCACAGCCCTCTCCTCCCCCTCAATCTCCCCTTCATCCCCACCCTCTTCCCTTCTCAGCCCCAGCCATTTCCGGGTGGGTGTCTGGATCACTCACACCAGGGAGTTAGCGCAAATTGCCTGAGCGGCCAGGACTACATTTCCCAAGAGGCTCTGCTCTAAGAGTCCAGGGAAAACGAGGCACCCTGGCTGGGGTCCTGCTGGGACTTGTAGTTGCCTAGCTGGGGCACCCGCCCTGCACTTACGCGAACCCGCCGCTGGAGGCGCCGTGAGGGGTTGGTGTCTTCTGGACGCTACTGGGCCCAAAGCCGGGGCTTTGCATGGGGCCCAGGGGAGGCCTGAGCTTGGATTTACACTGTAATAAAGACTTAAGTGGAAAACCCAAGGCTTCTTGTTTTTCAACCCCCTCCAGCTTCCATCCTCCTTCCCTGAAAGTACGTAAGCGATATTCAAGGAGGAACCTTCCCCATCTATGCGAAAGAGGCCCCCTCTTCCATCTGTTTAGATTATGAAATGATTGCAGGGAGGACGCTGAGAGATTGCCCATCCCAGGACTAACCGGGCCTTGGCAGCCGCTCTCAATACCTGTGCTGAAGGCAGGCATCGCCGGTCAATCCCCACCCTCCGCCCGCTGCGCAGCCATCTCACTGGGGATCCAGACATGTGTCCCTCTGCCTTCTGAACGAATGCCCTGCAAACACCCAAACCCCTAACTTGTCCTACCTGATTTCCAACTCAGGGATGTCCTCTCTGCTCACGTCGTCACCAGGCCTGAGACTAGGTCTGGCCCTGGGCCTTTTTTCCCTCACCTCCCACATCTAATCAATCAGGAAGCCATGTCTGTTCTATCTCCCAAACGTCTCTCGTTCACCCACTTCTTTCCATTCCAGCAGCTCCGGAACCAAGAACCGGGCCTCATGGCCTTTCTGGGCCTCAGGTTCCAAAACTGTAACCTGGGGGAGAAAGAGAAAGGACACCAAAGTCTAAAGATTTACAGACCTGAATTTGAACCCCAGCTTTACTATCTCTTGGCTGTGTGACCCTGAGCTAGTGACTTCACCTCTCCAAGCTTTGGTTTCCTCAAATGAAAAAGTGTCACCATACCCATATATACATGTAAAGCCCTTGTCACAGGGCCTGGCATGTAGTAAATGTCCATGAAACAGAAGCTGCTATTGTTATCTGTGACATGCTTCCCCAAACCTTGGTCCTTTCTTTCCTCACAGCCTTCAGTATGTCACCTGTTCTGCTATGTGCCTAATATTTTTCTTTAACTTGGTTTATTAAAATGATAAAACAAGTATCTTTTTAAAGGATATGTTACTTCACCACCAAGGAACTCAGTATGGCTTGTCAGAGATAGAAGATAACAGTAACAATAAACAAAATTATTAACATTTTAAATGTTTGTTGTGCATCACCTAAAATTATCTCACTTGACTCTAGCAACACGTTACATTTTAGGAGACAGATAATGTTACTGGAGCAGTAGTTACAGCCCCAGAATTTGTATTCAGGGGTTGCCTAGCCATTGCTATCTAAATAAAAGAAAAGGGGCTTGCGGGGCAGGGGGTAGGGGGGAAGGGGATACTTTTCTTCAATCTGAATTTGCTAAAAAGAAACAATGTTTTAAATTTCCAAATTAAAAAAATACATATAGATGTTTCTATTCACACTTTCAATGAGACAAAGTGTCCTTTTGTCCATATCAAAGAATAGAAGAAGCGGGACGGTTGAAGTTGTGGGTCCAAAAATGGCTGAAGTCCCCAAGCCCATCTTGGCACCCCCACCCTCGCCCCAGACGCAGGAAATAGGCTGTTATTGAAACAGCCTTTACTGAGCGCCTCCTAGTTGCCTGGCCCTGTGCCATACTTTTATATCTGTCTGCTTATTACTATTCCTCCAGTGAAATCAGTTGTATTATTCTTGTCTTCCAGATGGGAAAACTGAGGCTTAGAGAAGGATAGTAATAACAGTCTCTTATTCACCCTACAAATATTTACTAAGCATATGCTACATGCTCAAGCACTCTTTAGGAACAAAGGATGCAGACGTGAACCAAACAAACTTCATAGTTTCATGGAACTAATAGTCCGGTGGGAACAGACAGGCAGTAAGCAAATACACATAGACTATGGTAGCGTGATGGGGAAGAGGCCAGCAGGGTTAGGGGATAGAGTGACAGGACTTGCTATTTTAAACGGATGGCCAGGGAAGGTCTCATTAGGTGGTGACATTCGAGCAGAGGTCTGAGTGAAGAGAGGCAGTGAGTCATGTGAACATGTGGAGGAAAGGAGACGGAGACAGGGGGATCAGCAAGCGCAATGGCCCAGAGAAGGCAGCATGCCTGGTGTGTGTAGCAGAAGATGTTTATACGAGAAGTCAAGTATTGAGGAAAGAGAAGTAAATGGAGTCAGAGGAGTGAAAGGGGCTAGATTATAGGGATTTATTTGTGAGGCTGTGGTGAGAACTTAGACTTTTACTCTGAGATGGGAGCCATGGGAAGGTTTCATGTAGAGGAATGACACGGGTTCAATTTCCGCAAGTGTGTGGGCTGCGTGAAGTACGGTACTGTTCGTTTCTAAGTCTTATTTTCCCCCGCCATAAAATGTAGGTACAGAAATTAATGATTTGTAGTAGTTAAGCTGAATGGGAACAGAATTTCTGTCGTCCCCAGTACCTAGGACAGTGCCTGGAACTCAGTAGGCGCTCAATAAATATTTGAATTAACATCGGGTCCCTTAAATCGCTGAACTTCCATTAAAGAACAGCAGGTGTCGCATCAGCCTTATAACCGCCTTCCGGAGCCTCTCCAGCTTGACCAAGTCAGACTCTATCTAGCAGGAACCCACCCACTCGAATTCGGATTTTCCAGGGTAGAGGCTTCCGAAGGCAGAATTATGAATCTCTTCTCGAGAAACTGATTTCTCACTTGGAAAAAGGGTATCTGACCCTTTAACAACTACAGAAGAATGGGCCGGGTTCTCTGGAGCCGGTTCCCAGAATGCGCAGCGCTATGCAAATAATCAGTTCCCAAGGCGAAGATGATTCGTACTATGAGCAAAGATAGTATTTTGGAAGACTATCTGCCGTAATAAGTGACTAGTAAAAGTGTGTAGATATTGAAGTAAACAATCGTATAACCCGGCAAACTCAGTTACCATAACTCTAAAAGGGTATAAATTTTTGCTTTTCATATAGCTGGGTGAGGGAAGTTCAATGTCGCCCGGATGATCCTCAGTGGTCTGGGGTGCAGGCTTCAAACCTGTAGCTGTCTAGCGACAGAGTGGTTCAATTCCACCTTTCGGGCGGTAACGCGTTTTCATTCCTTGTTACCGTTTTTTTCTCCGCCCGAAAACAGGGCTTTAGAGCGCAGGTTGACGCCTGCGCCTGGAGAGGTCGCTGCAGTCCTATGCATCACAATTTACCCCAAGCCACTCGGGTGTATTCCTGTGGTTTCCTCTTTTTCGCGAATATCAAAGGCAACTCCAAGAGATGAAAACTCATCTACCTTCTCAGTTCTAGGACATTTAATTTGACAATTATATTGGATTTCTCCCTGTAACTTACCCACTCAGTCATTTGTGCTCACTCATGTATTTAATTACTCATGCACTTTATTAACCAGTTAAATATGTATTCATTAGTTCATTAATTCACTCACTCATTCAACAAGTATTTGCTCCAAGCCCGTCCTACACTGGGCGGTGCTGGAACACAATGGTGACCACGACCTTGGCTCTGCCCTTATGGTACTCCCACTTCAGTAGAGAAAACAAATATTAAACAATCATTAATTATACATTTGATTAATGATTAGAACGTGATGACTACTGGGAAGAAAGGTACAAATCATGTGGGACTATCAAAGAAGGAGACCTGCGTTCAGGTGGGGTGTCAGGGTAACATTGGAGCAGACACTGAAGGATGAGGGGGGATTAGCCAGCAGGGGGAGTGTTCCTGGTCTGAGTCAGGTTAGCCCCCGTAATGGCAGTGGGGATGGTGATAATTGCACCTTCACTCCATTAAGCACTGTCATTTAGGAGCTCACTGACTCCTCACTCTAGGTCCATTCTGCAGCTGAAGAAACTGAGGTTCAGAGAGATGATGTTTCTTGTCCAAGGTCACCCAGCTCCAGGTTCTCAGACGCCCCGCCCCGCCCCCCCGCGCCCCGTCCAAGCCGTTTACCACTTCCCTGTGCTCTTTCCCAAGCCGGCTTCTCACCAAGTCCTGTCTCTTCTATCTCCCAAATGACTTTTAGATTCTTCACTTCCTCTCTCTACAGCCCTAACCCTGTTCCAAGACCCCTTAGCACCCTATTGTCCCCACCCTCGCATCCTGCCTGGTCTCCAGTCCATCTTGCCACTTCCTCTCCAAGCTACCCCCAACCTGAAGTCTAGAGGAGTCTCCCTAAAGCACAAAACTGTCCCTGCCTTTCTTGTGTTCAGCCCCTGCCATGGCTCCCCAGTGCCCTTAAAAGAAGATCCAAATTCTTTGTCTGGAGTTGATGTCTGCAGAATGTGGTCCCTACTAATCTCTTTCTCTGCACATTTTGTCCCAGCCTCCATGAATGTCTAGCTTCCTCAACATATCAAGCCTTCTCTCCACCAACAGCTCTTTGCACTCAGTTTCATCAGTTCAGTCTTTTTCTATTCCTTTCTATATCCCTTATTTATCCTCTAGGACTCAGCTTAGCTGTCCCCTTCTCCAAGAAGTCTTTCTTGACCTCTAGACCAGGTTAGATGCCCCCTCTGAGCTCTCCCAATCCTGTCCACTTTGGATCTTCCCTGACAATGTCCCCCACTGGACTGTGAACCCTAGGAAGGGGAGCTTGGGCCTGTCTCAGTCCCTGCCACGTCCCCACCACCATCCAGTACAGGGCTGGGTACACAGTGGGGACTCAGCAAATTTTTAAAAATTAATAAATTAAGTGATTCCACCATGACAACTTGCCCTGCTTGTTCATTTAAGTTACTTGGCATTCAAATGACCTCTGGCCCATCACTCGTTTCCAGAGTGCTTGCTGCTCTGCAAATAAGCGAGGGCTTGGATTTTGTAATAGGAATGTCTCAGCTGTATCTTTTGACAGAAAAAGTGACCATATTTCTGGTTCAGTCGGTCTTGGGTTGACGCTGACATGTTCATAACCCAGAAGCAGTCGTGCAAAAAGCAAGAGGAAACTCATCTTCCTATTTATCATCATCCCTATTTTTGTGGTTCATAGAACTTCCAAAGCCCAACTGAGGTGTTCTTCAGGAAATCAGGATGTATACTCCCAATTCCTCTACCTGTGCAATAGTTGCTCAGACCATCCCCAGAGCATACCGGGTCCAACATAAGTTCCTCCCTCACAAGGAAGCCTGCATGGCTCTTTAGCATT